ATAAGAAAATCGTAAAAAGCATTATCCGTTTTTAATAAATAATAATCGTAAATAGAATCATAAAATTCTAAATAATAGTTATAAATTATAATTGAAACATAAATTTTGACAAATATAAAAATAAGATCTAAAAAAATATTTATCTCTTTAATTTACATAAACATTGTTTAGCATATGTCAATAATAAATATATTTTTTAACTAGGTACTAAAAATATAATTATCCATAAATTTTTTCATTTAATTAACCTACTTTCTTTTATATATATAAAAGAAAAAAGAACATTAAAAATCATATATCTAGTGTAATTGTATATAAAGTAGATATTCTTAGATTAGAGAGCAAATTTTAATTTTGAAATGAATTATTCGGCTGTTTTATTAAATTTAATTTTTCTGTGCTGCCTAGACTTATATCGGGTCTCGGGTTTTATAGACTGCTCGCCTTATTTTCTTGATCGTTTTTGTGGTAAGTTAACTATTTTCATACGTAAAAATTTATTATAAGAAAGATTCGTTCACACAATAGTCTTCGTTAATACATATAAAAAAAATTAATTCCTCAAAATCAATTTTAGCATTAAAGGATGGAGAATTTGCAGTGGAATGTGGAAGAAAATTTAATATCTCCAGAGTAAATAGTTACTTTGTCGTTTAATTTTAAAGACAACATGCTTTAAGTAAATACAAAATTAATTATTTTCAGCCTTTTGACGTTTATGAAAATTGTTTTGATTCAGTTAATCCAGATGGAAAACGTTGGGAAAATGCGGAAAAACTCGAAAGATTGTGTAAACTTGATCACGATGTAAGTAATTTTACTTATAAAATAATATCTATAACAAATCAATGCAATATAAGGAAAAGTAAAACAATTCTACGCATAATATATTAATTTACAATTGTTATATTTATGACTTTTATTTATTAATTATTTTTTTAGGTATATAATGCTGTCAAACAATGTTACCAAACAGCAGCATACATTGACTTGAAACAAACTAAAACAGTATTTAAAATAACCGAGGTAAAAAACTTTAAATTATATGTGATTACATTGTAATACTGTGTATATATATATATATATATACACATTATAGAACTTTAGTACTATATGTATACTATAATATATATTAATAATACTGCATATTTTTAATATTTTAAGTATTTATTTATTATTTAAATTTGAAATATGCAACTACCTTTTTTTTCTTATTTATATGTTCATGATTTTTGATTTTTCTTTTAGTAATATTTTAGAATAATTTTTAAATTTACTGCTTTCATTTTTTTCTATATTAATTAAATTATTTTAGAAATAACTTTGATTTCATGTAAAAATATTTCATAGTAGTCTACAGTAATTTTTATTTCTAAGACAATAAGATATTATTTTACTCTTGTATAGTGTTGTTTCGTTAGCCTATATAAATATGCAATATTTATATAGGTTATTGAATTTATATTATTTGTGTAATATAGAATATTTATTACATATGCATTTAATGCTATACTTAATCTAACGAATTATATATGTTATCTCTATTATCATTTTAAGACATAGATAAAGAGCTTTATTAAACTCTTTTTCTTTTATTATTGCGAAATTTCTATGTTGTTGTAGTAAATATATATGCTAATTTGAGTTTTATTTTAAAGTATAAAAAAATGCTTTTAATTAAATATTGTTCTGTATTCCTAAAAATCAGTTTTTTTTTTAAATATTTGGTTTTATCAAATCGTTACGGATATTTACTGTTTAATGAAAATTCTAATTTTTATACTTGTTAATTTTCTTTTCAATCGATTTTACACGTATTTATTATTTAAAAATTTCCCGTGATCCGCCAGACTAGTTCACTGGACCATCATCAGCGGCGCTGTGTGTCGTTTGCTAACAGAGTTGCCAATAAGGATGATAAATTACCGATACTGGCAACTCTGGTTGGCCGCACTTTGGATTATCGGTTTTAGATAAAGATTTTGGAAGGATGGTCCTGGATATATCGGGATCTGTTCATCACTACATTAAATCACATTGAGTTGTTTAAGTCTCTATTAATGTCATAATGCTTTAGAGATATATGAGGTGTAATACTGAATTATTATGTGACTATTGTTAATCCGGCAAAATCGATAATCCAACAGGTTCTAAAACCATGGGGACCGGGAGAATCTGTTGTGTACTTGAAACTTTGAAAATATAATTTCTATTATCAAAACTTTTTTCACTGCATCTTACATTCACTGCAACGTGCAGTACATATAATGCAGTAGGTTGAGAAGAGAAAATTAAGTTTCTTGTGACTTCTCAATTGTTCCTATATAGTTTTCTAAAATATACTGTACTATATTTTATTGNAGGTGCGAACCCGCTACAAAATTACCAGTGTTTATTGGTTTTAGCCACTAGCCACTAACGGCCAAGTGACTAAAACCACTAGCCACCAATCTGGCACTTCGTAGCATTGACGATCAATATAATTCAATAAAAAATGGGTGCAAAAATAATCTTTTTAAGTTTTAAAATGAAATAAATTATTGTTAATTTATTTAAACCGAATATATGTGATAGATCTATGAATTAAAGATAAGCATAATAAAATTGAAATCAATAAAAATGTGTAACTTTACATTTAAAATGGAATTATGCAAAAAATAGAATAAAATATTTGAAATTCAGGTATTCCTGAAATACATTCTTGAATATGATAAGTATTACTGAAATTAGTAATATGATACAAATTCTACTGAATATTTTCCACAGAAAATTATCAAAAAAAAAAAACATATAAATATATAAATTTTAAAGTAAAAGAATACGTTTAGATAATAGAAATAAAGTAAATGTGGTTATAAAAACGATGCATAATTAGATTATGTGTAAAGTGCTGAATATATTTATGAGAAAGTCTAAAATATATTTTTAAAGTATATAAAATTTATTATAAATTTCTAAAAATAGAATTTGAAAAAGTGGATGATTAGAGGCTACAAAGATTGGATCTAAAGTGCTAAACTATAGGAGAAAGTAATAGAAAAACATCATAAAAAAGTGGAAAGACCAAATTTCCTTTTTAGTTAGAGACAAGTTTGCACTAAAATGATATCGTTGAAATCGAATCAAGAAAAGGAAATAAATATAAAATGATTAGTTTTTCTCTAAATAAATAATTAAAGATTGAAGTACACCTTCGTACATCTTAGAACACTTATTAAATATAATACAATTAAACTTTTGAAGAACGAACACCAAAGAGAATAGCCGGGTTGCTGCCAAAGTTTTCATATCTAAAACGTGAACGTCGAACGTCGAGCGCCACTTACAAGATAGTGGCGCTTGACGTTCGACGTTCACGTTTTAGAGATGAAAACTTCGGACTCAACCTCTCTATTATTAGAGGTTCGATTGTAGAAAACTTGTTTAAAATTTATTAAAATAAAGATAAAACCAAGGACAATTTAAAATGTAGCAGCTATTTATTAAAATGGCGGACACTGACTAATGAAGTGTTAAGAAAAGGAAACTTTCATTCTATAATAGAGATAACGATATTTATTTTAATCAGAATCTCATTGAAGTAACATATATATATTTTAATTAAATAGAAGTTAATGAAGTCGTACTTAAAATAATTTTTCTTTTGTAAATTAAACTCAATCTTTGATNAGTTTTGTTGTTTTCATCATGCCTGTGAAATTTAAAAGTATAAGAATATTAGAATTAATTAATAAAATTCGGTTAAACTAGTTAGTTTAATCAACAAAATTCAAAAGTTTTTAAGACATTTTAAGAAATGTATTTATAAAATTTTATCATATGATTCTAACTAAATGTGATTTTTTTAAGTACTGTGGCCTTGGAGGACTTTTTCATCGTTTTCATCATTATCATCACTATCCAATATTTTTTAAATGAATAAATTTTAAACGAATTTGAAAATTTTTAAATAATAATGTTCTTTTATACAAAATTTTAAAAATTTTCGAAAATATGGGAAGTGTAAAGACAAAACTGAAAAGTAATTTTTTACAACTTTCTGACGAGTTCAATTGAGAGAATAGCTGGGAGAAGCATCAGTTTAGAAAAATCAAATTTGACACATTTTTACCTCTTGTATTTTTAAATGAATTTAAACTCGAAAATTGACAATATAGAGAAAATATACATTAAATAAGCTTTAAATTGATACATTAAGACGAGGGATGCTTTTTAAGACAATTCTCAATGGTCTTCGCAGACACTTGATCCTACGACACTGTCATAAGATATAGTGCATCATATAGAAAAGTTCTTTTAGCAATAGTAGTCGAACCAGTTCGTCTTCTACTATCATCTAATCCTCCTAAAATTCTTCCATATATTTCATTTCTGAAGTATGCCTTAATTAGATACGATTACGTCGTGGTCGCACGGCTTAATCAGTGATGTTGTATTCACAAGAAGGAATATTATTTTAATGTTTCTTAATGATGCATTCTTAAGACATGAATATGCTGTAGAAATTTCTACCAACAAACAATGTTCTGTTTCAAGTTTATATTCCGTTTAAAGCACTCATCATTTGCAGCAAAGCTTTATTTCCAAAACTTTTAGTTAATTCTTCTGCTTTATAACGCATTAATGGCCCTTTAACAGAGAGATTTTTTAATGAAAGCTTTTACGAAACATTACTAAATCAAAGCTTTGATTTATAAAGTTTCAAGTTTATTATAATTATTCACTTTTTGTCTTACATTTTAATTAATATTCTTAATAGCTATTTTTAATTTGCTACAAAAAGGAGGATACCGATTGTGAATTAAAATTTAATGTCAAATACAAATTGGAAAAGACAAGAATACTTGAAATATAACCAGGAGGGGTAATGGAAAAAGGATCGGTGAGGAAGGGTAATAATCGTCCCGGAATGTATATATTGGTTTAATAAAATCTCAGTGAACTTTTCAATTGAAAACTGTGGTCTGATAAGTCCTTAAAATTTATAGCAAATTAAAAATAGCTATTAAAAAACTTAATTTCAAGTCTATCTTTGAAAGACAATCTTTGCGTTTCTTATTTGCTTCTCCATTATGTTAAGGATTATAATATAATCTTTATACTTCAATTGAATAATAATAAAGAACAAGTTTTCAACAACAGGAAATAGCTAGTCTGCAAATGAAGTACCTGGAATCAGTACTAAACATTTAAACAATAGTGGGCTAATATATACAGCATTGAGTTCAAGGAATAAACGGACGTTTAACGACAGTAAACAATTTATATGTGTAGCAATACGCTAATATTAGAGGTCTAATAACAATATCAGCGATTACAATAAGCGGCACCTATTGTATTTAAAATTAAAAGTCTTAATATAAACTGATGTTAGATTGTAGTCATGTTAAAAAAACATTAAAATGTTTATTCTATGGGGATGATCATAGTAAGAAAGTGTTTATATCTCTGTGTATTAAAAACTATTGAGCAAATCTTAATCTAGTTTACACGTTGTTTTGAGTTATGTGGTTTCGATTATTGAAAATAAATTTTACTTCAAAATTCCGCCGCTAGGAGGAAATTTGGCGCTGCTGTCCCCTTAATATCCACATTTTGCACGTTTTCTAATGAGTTTTGGGACTTAAAATTGCAATGATTTTATTTTAGTTACAGATGTATAAAGAGGAATTGACGATTACGTGAAAGATTATACGCCTGTTCACTTGTTCAATTGTGAAGAACGTTTCAATACTCCTTTTATTCCCGAAATTTCTTATAAAACGTACTGTAAGTAGTATGCACAGTAAGGAATGGCAACGCTAAATTTTACCATAGCGGTTGAATTTGGAAGTAAAATTTTTCCCCGAAAATCGAAAACAAGAAGAGGTTCCTAGTTGAGAAATGCAAGGTCACTCACTCCGCCAATGAACTAAGTTGATACAGGAGGAGGAGATGAGTAAAATAAAGTATAAAATTTGTGCAAAGTTCCAATAGAAAAGGAGTGAGACCCAGACAAATATTGCCCATATGTGACAGTTTTACTAATGTGTTTAAATATGTTGTTTCTTTCAGGAAATGCCGGAGAAGTCGTAGAGAGAATTTATAACGTACTGTACAAAATTGAGATTGATGTCTCTTTTGAATATTTCAGATGTATGTTTACATATCTTTTCACTCCTTCCAGATGATCCTCCAAGCTCATTGTAATCAATTCTACTGTTTTAACCATTGTTTGGTTGAAGAACTTCACACGTACTGTTGAATTTACATTACATATTTAACTTTTTGCAATGATTCTGCTTAAATGTCAACTTTATTTTTTATTTTATTTTAAACGAACTTCCTAACTTTTACACCATACATCTTCTCTTCTTAAGAAGCACATAAAAATTTACCATTTCCACTTGTTGATATGAGGAATTGGATGAAGTAAGGTTCATCCTAATTTGAGTTTCTAATTTTCGGAAACTTCCCTTGTTACGACAGTATGTATACTAAATTTCAGTTGAAATTTGCCTATAAAGCTAGGGTTGCCAAATTTATACTACTGGATTAAAGGATCACTTAAATAACGAGTAAGCTTTTAAGTCTAACCACACTAAAGATATGACCTTATACCCCTCTATCTCCACTTTAAAAATGTAATAGCATTAATGCCCCACATATAAAAGTGTTCCTGCCATTAAAACTTTTTGGACCATGAGATCCTGAGTATAAGCAAAATACCTGGAAACACTACAAAGCTACTCTTTAATTAATTATGATCACAATGCATATGAATTTAAAAAATTTCTCTTGAATGTTATACTAAAATATATTCTTAACTAAATAATTTATTCTGTGTCATTCTGTAATTAACATGTAATTATTAAATTCTTAAGGTCTTGTATTTACTAATATAATATGGCCCAAAAGTAAGTTAACTATTGTAAAGCCTAAACTACTGTCTTATTCGGATACTTAGTCGTGTTTCCACCAATTCCATACAAGAATATGTTTATTATTTAAACTTAGTTTACGATTCATAAGTATATTCGAAATGTGGTTAACTGACTTTTGAACGACCTCGTGCATTGTGTAGCTATGAGGAATAATTTCTAAAGTTTTCGTAACTATAAATGCAATTATTTTACATTATATCTTTGTATATTTTAATTACTTAATGAAATATTTCTGCTTGTTTTTGTTTCGACTATATTATATTACATTACAGAACTTTACTCAGAGCATTTCTATGTTCTACGTTTTAAAATATATATATATATTTTTTTATCTAAAATTACTGTTTATGTTATCTGATTTATAGAATTATGTTAACACGATATTTCTTCTTCGTCTTATTTATAATAATATAATATTTTACCTTAAAATTATACTGTATCATTTACACGTTTAAAATAGTATATACTATAAAGTTATTCAGATAAAAAGTAATAATAATCAATAAAAATTAAAGCGTGAAATGAAGATAACAATGTTTAGAATTATCAAATATCTAGGGTATTAATATCATAGATAAAAATACTCACCAAATATAGCATCTAGAATCCCAAAAGGCATGACAACTACAGATACTAAGAGATCGGCGATAGCTAATGACATTAAAAAATAATTAGTAACATTCTGTAGTCGCCTTTCAGTGCTGATAGCCAGACATACCAAGACATTTCCTAAACCTCCTGCCAATACAAAGAATGAAAGTAGAAGAAAAAACCAATTGTAAGAAATCGGTTCGATGCTGAGGATATTTTCTTCAGTTAGATTGGTGATATTACTGTTCATTTCTATACCCGACGATACTATTATGGTATTATCTGTTTGCCCATTAACTATGTAAGTGATCACATATTCGGTAATGTTAATTATTTTCTGGATATTACTGCTACTATTAATAGCGTTTACATCTTCCGATTGAAAATCGTCATCGTTATTGATTTGTTTCCAGCTATGATAAGTCAAAACGTTCTGCATTGTTGTAAACTGGAGCAATAAATTGTCTACTTCATTTTAACTGTCTCAATCACGCAACTATCAAAATTCTCTCATTTGTTACAACCCGATACCTAAATTAGACACTTGCCAACATCTGAAAATAAATCAATAAAATATATTTTATAACAATTTCCACTATAAAAAAATAACAATAAAACATTTAATTATTATATTAAATATCTGCGAGTAATTGAGCTACTTTATCAATTAAAGAACGTCGTTGTCACCTTATATTATAGGGGGTAGAGCCTACTCGAGGTCTAGGATCTACCTCCCTCTAAGCTCTATCTAGAAAGGAGGAGAGGGGATGAGGAGGAGAGAAAGGTAATGAGCAGAGAGGGTGAAGCAGGAAGTGTAAAGTAAAAAATAAAAAAGTTACGTAATTTGTAGTAGTTGAAATTACATAAAGTAACAGCTTCACTATAAGGATGTAGTGAATCTTTCAGAAAGATAATTAAATTTTTTTTTACATTTTCCTCCTGTATTTTAATATAAATTCTTATTTAAAAAATATAAGAAGTTTTATAATATTATAGCGATTTTCAAAAATATAAATTTTCTAGCGATTTATAGAATTGTTTTCCATTTTTTTACAATCAGAAGTAATAACGTGTTTAAGCACATTTATCTGTACAGAATCATCCGGAAGTTGCAACAGTTAAAAGGAAATAAAAAAGATGGAAATATTTACCGTACAATTCAACATCAAATCTAGATAATGTTTGTTTACAAAACGATTTTTCGTATCACTAATAAGAATTTTATTTAAAGTAGATATAACGTTAAAGATTCCAACTTCAAATCATGTTCAGTGAAGAAATCTATGCGATAAATGATTTAAAAATCACTTAACAGATAAATCGTATTCACTAGAAAATTTACCTCAATTCTCCAATAAATTTTAATAAATTTATAATCTACATAAGAGATTTAAACGTGTATAAATTTACTTATTAACACCGTTTTTTTTTTGGAATAGAGTAATAATATAGTGCACTTTAAGTCAGCTTTTATATTTAAGATGAGATATTAAATTTTTAAGCAATTAAAAACAGTTGGAATGTGCATAATTATTTAAAAATTCCATAGTAATAGAGAAGAAAAGTATTTCTGAAAATTAAAATTTTGTAAATTACAAAAGAATAAATATTTCTGTTAATTCTTTCTAAAAGTATAAGTGACAGTAGGTTGTGGAATTTTGCAGCATATTACAAGGTTTTATGTAACACGATGTTGTGTAAACAAGGCTATTTTAATATGATCGAAACTTTGCTTTGAATTTGCAACGTTGCTCAATTTGTAACTAAACTGTAATGTGTCAAACTGGTTGTGACTGATGACATAAGGTAAGTTTTATCGATTTCTTCCTTCTCATACGTTAGATGCCAGAGTTATAATAGTAGTTAGTAACTTTCCAATAGTACATAATTATTTTGAATACATTTCCATTCGATTTTCATTGCAAATAGGATAGGAAAAAAAAGACCTTCTAATCATGAATTGAAAGAGAAAGAATTCGACTATTTTGCAATAAATTCTTTTATTTTATTGTCGAATTTTTTTAACGAATAATAATAATAATAATAATATAAAATGCGATCGAATAATGATCATTTTTTAATATTTTTTACTAGAAAGAATTTCTTATTCTTGCCATTAGAAAAGTATTGATAATGAGAAAATATTATATTATATTTTGGAAGAATTATTGAAATTTTTATCTGTCCTATTAAAATATAAAAATTAATCAAAGAGTTCACAATAAGTCAGTGATTCTCAATGTTTTTGAGTTAGTGGCACATTCACAATCTTCGGTGGCACCCTCATTGCAATGTCTTATTAAATGCTTTTAACTTATATATGTGTAAAGAACGTTGAATTTACGTTGAATATCTTTAAATTTTATATAAATTCATTTTTAGATTTTAAACTTCAAAATGTAAACAAATTTATCGAATATCAAGGTCTAGAGGTCAATCAGTTTGGATTGATGTGATATTACAACGTCACACATGATTAATCTGTAAAAGAGGGTTGCCTTCAATGTAAAGTTTTATGGGAAACTAGCCACAATTTGGGTACTAGACAAGTGAAGATACCTAAAAAACGCCACATAACCATCCCGTTGGGGAGGTTCGAACCCGCTTCCTACTACCACTGTAAACTGCTTCGTGCACTGGTGGGCTATAGATCAATCAAGACATATGAAGAAAAAACTAATTAGGAACGATTTGTCATCATGTTTTATCAATAATTTTAATTTATATGTGAGAAAATACATATATGATTACTATATGCGAATAATTTCATAATATATGCAATTAATACATGAAGTAATAACTAATACATAAATAACAGGGTAAATATGTTGTTAATACTTTAATAAGGTAATAAAAAATGCAAAAAGTTTGCTTACTTTCCCATTATTGATCAATTATGACAGAATGCCATCGATCATGCTTGATTCCCAGACATGTTGAAAGATTTAGGAGCGTAAGCGTAGTGATGAAAACCAGAGATGATGTAGAAGGTTACTCAATAAACGCAGCAATAAATTATACAAGAGATGTGCGTCAATACAGGACTTCTAAATGTATTATGTTAAATACACGACACTGTATAGAAGTGATTAGGTTTGGTGGAATACAAGAATGCAATACATGGACAATCTGCAAAGGAGGGGACCTCAAAAAAGACCTTCTATGAGAAATTGGCTTCTATTTAGGTGTTCAGGTAAATAAAACCTGGAAAACACGTGGGAAAGCCTGTTTGAGGTGCGAACCCGCTACCAAATTACCAGTGTTTATTGGTTTTAGCCACTAGCCACTAACGGCCAAGTGACTAAAACCACTAGCCACCAATCTGGCACTTCGTAGCATTGACGATCAATATAATTCAATAAAAAATGGTGCAAAAATAATCTTTTTAAGTTTTAAAATGAAATAAATTATTGTTAATTTATTTAAACCGAATATATGTGATAGATCTATGAATTAAAGATAAGCATAATAAAATTGAAATCAATAAAAATGTGTAACGTTACATTTAAAATGGAATTATGCAAAAAATAAAATAAAATATTTGAAATTCAGGTATTCCTGAAATACATTCTTGAATATGATAAGTATTACTGAAATTAGTAATATGATACAAATTCTACTGAATATTTTCCACAGAAAATTATCAAAAAAAAAAAACATATAAATATATAAATTTTAAAGTAAAAGAATACGTTTAGATAATAGAAATAAAGTAAATGTGGTTATAAAAACGATGCATAATTAGATTATGTGTAAAGTGCTGAATATATTTATGAGAAAGTCTAAAATATATTTTTAAAGTATATAAAATTTATTATAAATTTCTAAAAATAGAATTTGAAAAAGTGGATGATTAGAGGCTACAAAGATTGGATCTAAAGTGCTAAACTATAGGAGAAAGTAATAGAAAAACATCATAAAAAAGTGGAAAGACCAAATTTCCTTTTTAGTTAGAGACAAGTTTGCACTAAAATGATATCGTTGAAATCGAATCAAGAAAAGGAAATAAATATAAAATGATTAGTTTTTCTTTAAATAAATAATTAAAGATTGAAGTACACCTTCGTACATCTTAGAACACTTATTAAATATAATACAATTAAACTTTTGAAGAACGAACACCAAAGAGAATAGCCGGGTTGCTGCCAAAGTTTTCATATCTAAAACGTGAACGTCGAACGTCGAGCGCCACTTACAAGATAGTGGCGCTTGACGTTCGACGTTCACGTTTTAAAGATGAAAACTTCGGCCGCAACAAAATATCTGTAAAGTCCTCTCTGTAGAAGCGGAAAAGTTCTGCTGGTAGGTCATCAATGCCAGGGGCTTTTTTGATATGTAGGTCATCTATTGCATTTTTTATCTCTTCTTTGGTTATTTCATTGTTCAATTGGTTGTTCTCTTTGTCCNTATTTATTTATTTTTAAAGTGAATATATAAAATAAATAAATTAGATTTTATTTGATGGCTCCAATATTATATTTTTTCTTTAAATTTAAATATTGCATAACAATTTATATAACTTTTTATATATTTTTCTTCAATAAATATTTAATATATTTATCATAATTGAATTGTAAATATAATTTTTTAATACTTAATTTAACCTGAATATCTTCCATTTATATTGAAACTTTAAAGTGTTTAGTAATTTAATTTTAAATGTTTTAACTGTTAATAAAATGTAAAAATTATTTATTTTATTTTCTAATTTAAACAATTTTTAATAAAGTTTTGCACTTATATTTAAAAGAGCAATAAAAATTAATTTTTTATATCGATGTATATAATTAATATATTAAGTTTAATAATAGTTAAATATATTTATAATTATAGATAAACTAGAATTAATAAGTTCACAATCTGGTTAATTCAATTAAAAAAAAATAATTAAAATTGTTCTTTATAATCTATTTTTATTAAAATTTTTAACATGTATAAAGAGAATAAATAAATTTTAATATGTATAAATTAATTTTATTTCTAAAACTAAATTTTATTTTAGTTTCTTCTCAAACAAATTTATATAGTGTTAAGTGGATAATGAATTAAATCTAGCAAAATATATTAGCAAGATTAAACTAAACTTTATAACGGTAATATAAAGCAAAGTTTGATTAATTTTGAGATCAGATATTTGCCTTTTATGCAATAGAATTTTGAATTCACAGGGGAAAAAAATAGCATATTTATTTGACGTTTCTGAGATGCGATCTTTCTGCTATGCTACTCTTCGAATTTTTTCTCGAGTTTCCCCATCCAAAAGTTCCTTATCAAACAACAGAATGTTGTAATATAGTTATTCCTACTGACTTTTATAGCAAATTATACTTATCTAAACGAGATATTATGCAATACTGCTTTTAATAAAGGATGTTTTAGGTCAAGTAATTGCTTCATAGAATCCCACAGAATAAACAATTCGTATTGGTTGTTTCTAAT